TGATGGACCTGTTTTCAGCTTCTGAATTGAAATTCAATTTGATATTTCTCGGGCTTAAAGTAAAAAAAAAAAAAGACATCTAGATGGTAGTGCTGGGCGGTATGACCAAAAATCCATATCACTGTATTTTTCAAAATTATACTGGTTTCACGGAAAATGACGGTATTTTTTTTTCTCCTAAGCATGACTGGGTTAACCACATTTTCTACTGAGTGAGAGAGGAAATACTGCAGTAGATTTACTTAGAATGCCCTATTTTACTGTCACGAGTGAATATTCTAGAAAAAATCCACACTAGTATTAATACAGGTTTGCAAGGCTGTTTACAAATAGGTGCCAGCAGGAGGCGCTTTAGGAGCGGCAGAAATAGCGGTTTCTCCGGTAACGCCTGTACACAAAGCAGCGCAACGCACATAAACGCTGCTTTAATTAGGAAAGATTCAATCGCAATAACAAAGAAACTTTTCTAAAGTTCACTAGGTCACTTCAGATACATTCATATAAAAACACCCGTGCCGCACTTTGACATTTTGCAGTGCTCATGTTTATTCAACGATGTCAATGCCAACCACAAATAGATTTTCCAAAAGGCTGTGATATTGTGAACCAATGTATGGGAAACACTGTAATATAATTTGACAACTATCAATTATAGTTCAACCCATCCATCTTCACCGTCACACTCAACACATCCATCACTACAGAGTGCAAGAGTGAAAAGGGACCCTCTCAAACAGTGTCGCGCCGCGCTCCGATCGTTATTAAAGCGTCATACACGGGTATTGCGATGTATTAAAAATTCATATCATAACAAAAATAAACACCGGTATTCGGTATGAAACGGTATACCGTCCAGCACTACTAGATGGTAACTTTCCTGAGATCATAAAAAGGCTGAATTTCTTGCAAAGGTCAGGGAGACAACCAAAATGTGTATTGTTGGTGTGCCTCAAGGCCCGGGGTTGTAAATGCTGGTGTAACCAACATGCAGGAATATGTTGTCAGGGGGCAAGAAAACCATAAAACAGGAAATGATATCACAAAGAGGATGCTGCTTCCAATCCTGCTTCTGGAGGGCCACTGATCGCAGCAGGCCCACCGCGGCACCGCTCCCCCCACCGATTTCTTTAGGAATAAAAATCATTTAGTTCAGTTTAGAGAACAGACACAACAATTGAAAACTAGACGTGTTTACTCAATTCAGCGTAAGCCAAACAAGTGTCACAGCACAGATCAGCAGCAGGAGTCAGATTTCATCTTATTTCGCCTCACTCTTGACTGACGGAAGATTGGTTTCAAAGCGAAATCTAATACCGTTATTTAAGCGAGTTTGTCATTGTACTGTTGGTTGTGTTTTTCATTAAGAATAATGAACCCACCATTCAAGCAATTTCTGCCCCTGAATTGGTGCTAATTCGAAAGTGCCACTGCCACACGGGCATTCATAACGGTGCGTGTTAATTGCCGTGGAGTAAGCGGAGCAGAGCGAGCATTTTCAGTTCATTCCTATAGAAGTTGAGCTTCCATAGAAATTAATTGAAAACGCTTGCTGTGCTCTACGCCAGTAAGCGATTTTGGAAAAGGAGGGAAAAATTCCAACATCCCCCCAACGATGGTACCGGTATTACTGGTGTTGTCACGCATCGATTAACTGGTGGGAGAATTTCCTCCCCATCACATCTCTACCACTGTCCTGCAGAGTTCAGCTCCAACCTCAAGTTAGAGCTAAACTGCAGGACAGTGGCCCTCCAGGACCGAGTTTGGACACCCCTTCTGAAGACCCTGATGACTCTCAAAGTTGATACAGCTCTAAAAAGATTATTAGACAATTTGACTTTTGCAGATACACATAGATATTTGTTAAAATACTTTTAACTTGGAAAAACTTGGATCAAAACTTAGTATTGGTATAAAGGTTTTTCCTGTCATTGTGGAGTCTAATGAATTTGTTTTTATGTCTCTGAAGTTGGAGAACATGCTAGGAGGAGATGAGATCTACAAGACCCACATTACCAAACATTTGGTGCCTTGTATCGCCCAGTTTGCTGTCGCCATGGGAGATGACTCGCAGTGGAAAGTTCTCAATTATCAGATTCTGCTTAAGATGCGTCACAGTTCACCCAAGGTATGCAGATTCTTGAGTATGATAAATGTAAAAATACAGTGCTCAAGTTATGGGCCAGTGTGTGTGGTACCAATTTACAGGGCCCAAAAATCAATTATGAAAAGTGGTATTGAAATTCATATTTGTGAATAAGAACAATACTGAAACCCTCTTTCAAAATTGCAATTAGTCCATTGTAATTTGTAAGTTGCTTTAAAGAAATGTGTCTGCTAAATGAATGGATGTAAACAAGCGTCCAATGAATGCGCTCAGTCATGCACACCAGCTGTGTTTTAGATGCACCCTAATAATGCCTTTTGTAATTGAACTAGTTGCACAGTCAAAATAAAAATAAAAACACATGTAAAACACATCAAAAGTAGTGAATTGGTTAGAAGAAAATTTTCATTTGGATTGTAAGGGGTGGGTTAAACCCTTTCTAATCCGTTCGATAGGACATGTAAACACTTGATCGGATTGAAAACCAAAACTGGAAAGTGCATGTGCAGTGACAGAAATGGCGTAATGACGTATGATGCACGGAACGAGCTTTTGAATATAGTGTAGAAGTGAAAATAAATGTCCATGTTGGCATTTCTTTTCAGGTGCGTTTCTCTGCACTTGTCATGTTGCTGGAGTTGGCAAGCAAACTGAAGGAGAACTATATGGCTCTTCTGCCAGAGACCATCCCATTCCTGGCTGAGCTCATGGAGGGTAAGAACATTACATCAATATTTCATCAAATTAGCTCACATGATTCTGTAACTTAGTGTTATCTATGTTACTGCTTTGAGTTGTGTTTTAAGAACACTTTAGTCTGTCATTTTCATAACGTTTGTTTAACAGTCAGGAATACTTTAGAATTGATTTATTCCTCCTTGTTTTGCAGATGAATGTGAGGAAGTTGAGCACCAGGTGCAGAAGGTTATTCATGAAATGGAGACTGTCCTCGGTGAATCACTGCAGAGCTACTTTTAGAGTCCCAAGACTTTCACGCCATCGCAGGCTTCTCACACCCTCTGAGTGTGCATTCATTATTATTACATAATATTTTCTGATGAACTGTTCTGCTAGAACATGGGTCAGTCTGCCCGCCGGTTCCACAGCACACTTTATCACCTCACTGGCGGCTTGACCTGTCCTACCTTTGACTCCTGCATGGGCAGTTTGGGGCACAGGTTAATGTAAAATGTGTGGCTTTTTGCAAGCCACAAATCACTGGATACCACATGCTTTTTCTAAGGTTATATAAAAACGACACGCATGATGTTAATGTCTAATTTTTTTTTTTTTTTTAAGAATGGTTTTATGGCATTGAATGACATTTTGTAATGCAAACTAATCTTTCTATAAAATCTGAATATCATACAAAATGAGCCTGGGAAATGTGCATTTGTGTTTGATTAAAGTGAAAAAAAAAACATGGGTTCAATGAAAGTTCAGGTTGAACAATATGCTCACATTAACCATACAGTTTTAATGGGTTACACATTTAATATCTCTGCCATGCATACATATTCAGATCTAAGCTGCCTGTTCACTGTGGTTCTATCTTTCTGGAGCACCTGTGAATATAATGTGCCTCATATACCTAGATAATGATTCTGCATGTTATTGTACAACAATGATGTGGAAAAAAAAAAGAAACCATGATATGCTTTGGGTTTTTTTCTTAACTTTAGATGAGAAAAAGTTACGGTTACTTTTGATCTCTTTTTCATAGTTTATTCAAAGGCAATTGACCACAGGCATAATAAATGGTATCTTATTATTCCTGTACTCCATTACCTTTGAATAAACTATGCAAAAGCAAGAGATCAAAAGTAACTGTATCTTTCTCATCTAAAGTTAAAGATTGCATCATAACACTGTAATCTATATGCAATGGGGTCACTGTACAGTGTAGGCTACTTGCTAGTGTGTAAATGTATTTTACAGTGTCCTTGTTACATACGTTACATGTACTTACCATAGTAATAACAGTAAATTATGCGTACATACATGCAACTAAACCTCATCCTAATCATATTATAGCCCCAGAGTAAGTACATGTTGTTAATTAATATTACTCTGTACTTAAATATATAATTATACTGTAACAATGACAGCTTAAAATAGTGTAACCGTTATAACTAGGTACTAACCCTGAACCTTTATCTAAGCACTCGCTACCCAATTCTTGGTTATATCTGTGTAACTGTTATAACCCAGTTATTGTTACATCGTATGTACAGATGGAACAGGACTGTAAAATAAATTGTATTTTAACAAATTTTTTAAGATTAAATCTGCAGAAGAGGATGAATATATATGAGGTGTTGTAACAGTTTTTATTACATAAACTAATTTTAAACAATCTTGTAATGTGACAAATAAATGTTTACAATATTCTGTGTATTCCCCTAATTATGAACTGCATATGAATTCGGAAAATAATGTTTAAAAGTTACTTCAGCTATGCAAAAATGTTTATTAAATAAAATATTTTTTAAAAGTACTTAATTCTTAAATATTAACTAATAATAATAATACTTAATATAAACATTGTAAGTTAGATCATTTGAGCCAAAATAAATAGTGCTGAATTCAGGTTGATTAGGACACTTTTCCAAGTCATCTCAATGGCAAAAACTGTCTCAATCACTCTGAATTTACCCCTATATATATAACTTCAAATGGCTTGATAAAATAACCCTTGATAAGATGGAGAGGACTTTAAACAAATACATGATATAACTTGTATTTTCTGGATCCTTAATAGAAAAGTTAATATTCTCACGATCGCTTCATTTGTAAACTAACCACTTTATATGCAAATTAGGCGACTGCAGCTTCTCAAACGAGTTCTTTCCCATTTACTTTTCTTGTCCAAAACAGGAGGGAAACAAAAAGGTTAATGGAGAACAGCGCGAGCAGCCCAATGACTGCCAGCGGCCAGCGTGTCGTCACTCGTCCTGTAATCTGCTTTGATTTGAGCCGCTTTATTCCAGACTGCTGCTGGAGACACTGTAACAGTCATGATGAAGCGCCTCGGCGGATTAAGAGCCGTTTTTCACATATTTAGAAGAGACCTCCATCATCAGCACAGTGTGGGGATAATAGGTGCGCCTTTCTCTAAAGGACAGGTGAGATATAAAGGCCCAAAGTCCTTTTCTCGTTTAAAATAATGCTATTCACGAGTGAAAATGATATGTTTGCATGTAAATCCACGCATGGTGCAGTATGGTGCCGGTCTAGTGCTCATGTTATTGCCTGTTACTGCAGCAGAGGGATGGTGTGCAGAGAGGAGCAGACCTCATTCGAGCTGCTGGATTGGTGCAGAAACTTAAAGTGCAAGGTGCCACTACCACTACACCTCCAGATATTTACACTAGATAGCAATCTTTCAGTACAGTATAATGCATCTAAAATATTTGAAGCAACACTTTTTTTTCTTTCTTGTTTAATTATTAAAAATGCAATGTAATATCCTTATACAATCATATTAAATATGCTGAGTACTGCATAAAGAGACTGCATGAAAAGTTAGGTCAAATGTGATTAAAATAGATTTAAAAAATGTAATTGTGACCATCTAGTCTCTAAAAAAATTCTAGACTACTTATATGCAATTCTTTTACACTTTAACCTAAATCTTAATGTTAAAATGTTTACATTTTATTTGTTAACTACACAGTACCTATACTAATGTGTATTTTAAGAATTTAGGTTGCGTGCAGTCAATATTCATCATTGCCATTTCTGTAAAAAGAGCTTTAAATGCGTTATTTCTTCTGGGCCTAATATACAATCTAAAAAATGCTGGGTTTTAAAATTAAAACCTTTACCCAACGGTTGGGTTTGTCCATATTTGACCCAATTTTGGGTTGTAACAACCAAGCATTTTTTAGTGTTTGTAGCTCTGTGATTGCACAAATGTTTTATAACTTTAAACAAATAGCTGAAGGGACTGATGCCATGAACAGGGACAGTAGATCAGTGATGCATGTGTTGTCTTTATTTATTTACTTAAGAAGATGTGATCTCATAGGAGCAGTAACACTGACATTGTTCCACTCCCCTTTCTCTGTGTATTCAATATTGAGGATTGGGTTACTAAATAAGAGTGAAGCATGTATTTGCACATCTTAACTCAAACAAACCTAGTAATGTTTAATGCTGTTACTTCCAAACTTGAGTTGAACGGAAAACTACATTTTGAAAAAGTCAAATCAGTGATTTATTTAGAGATTCATTTCAAGATTTTTGAATCATTCATTTAATATTTGAATAAGCACCCTTTTGAAACACCATATTCAATGTTAAATATTCAGCTTTCCTTGTGCGTGTATATATATATATATATATATATATATATATATACACACGAGGAAAGATAGATATATAGTACAACGGGTTAAAGGCACACCTTAAGAAAAAAATAGCTTTTTACTACTCCCATAGTGTATGATTACAGAAGAAATAGATGTTTGTATTGAACATTTATGGAGCAACAGATTTTGTGTGAAAATAAATCATAAGAGTGGTTTATTTTGTTTAAAAAATCTTATAAATGTATGAGGTGGCGAGGTGGACCTTTTACCCTTATGTATGTTAATACGATTTATGTATTTCAATTGCATATACATTTTCCATCCATTGTCAGTCATGCATGAAATATAGAGATAAGATTTCTGTAGATTTAATTTGTTTATTTGTTGGGGGAGCGCAGGTCCCCTCTCTCATTCAGTTAATTATTTGGAAAAGAGTGATCAGTACATTTTTTCTATAGTGTTCCATGTAAAAACAACAAAATCATACGGTTGTGTAAATGATGACAGATTTTTATGTTGGGGGGAACTGTTCCTTTTAAAAGCTACTTCGTTTGAAGCCCTCTGTCCCTCCCAGGTTGTGTAGTGAAGGATTATGGGAATCTGACATTTGAAGAAGTTCCCAATGATGAGCCCATTGGCAGGCTGAAGTCTCCGAGAGCAGTCGGCCGAGCCAACGAGCTGCTCTCTGGAGCTGTGCAGAAGGTCAAAAGCCATGGCAACACTTGTGTGATGCTGGGAGGAGATCACAGGTGATTGTGTGCTTTCGGTTCTGTTAAATATGACATTTGCAAGCACCAAATCAATATTGAACCTTTATGCATATTCATTCTCACCAATATGTCTGCCGTTTCTTTCAGCTTGGCGATTGGTTCGATCGCCGGTCATGCCGCCTCAAGACATGAGTTGAGTGTTTTATGGGTGGACGCACATGCAGACATCAACACACCTTTGACCACGCCAACGGGAAACATTCACGGACAACCGCTGTCTTACCTCATCCATGAACTGCACTCTAAGGTCTTTAATCATTTCAGCAACTTGTGTTAAAGTTTGTGTAATATGTTACACAGTCAACTCCAACAGAGATGTTCAACTATAACATCTTAATCTCCTGGCCATGGCTGGTGTCAGTATCTCTGCCTTTAGCACACTCATAACTAACTAATAAAGGCAAGGCAAGTTTATTTACAGTATGCAGCACATTCCATACACAATGGTAATTTAAAGTGCTTTACATAGAAAGAATAATAAAAAAAAGGTGATGGCTACAAAGAAATCTCTAACGTTAATTTTGGTCATGACTAGTCTTGAAAACCGAAGACAATTTGACGGTCTTCGTAGGAGAAGCCACACTGCAGGACTGGGAGTCAAATCTTCCGACACTGACAGAATTTCGTCGGAGGTAAAATTCGATCTCAATGGTCATTAATCGGCTGTTGGCGACATGTCAAACTAATGATCAAAGACTTCAGATTTTAGCCTAGGATCAGAGGAATCTTTTAGGATTTGCATAATTTGTCTCAGACGGCCAAAATTGCACAGTGTGCACCCGGCTTAAGTCTTGTATGGAAACAAAGCATCTAATTCTTGCAATATTTTTCAGATGATAATATGCTGATTTAGTTATTGCTTTGGCATGACTACTGAAACTAAGGTCTGGCTCAAGAATCACAATGTACTAAGTCCACTGAAGGCAAGTTTGTAGAAAACCCAAGTGCAGTTTATTTACAAAAAAATGATCAAACGTAAAACAAAGGCATGACATGGCATGAACTCACTTACCACAGTGGTTACAGGGAAATAATACTTGACAGACACATGGGAAACACAAGGGCTTAAATACACAAGACTACTGACTGACAAGGGACACCTGTGAACATAATCAAGACAATGAACCAATGACAATATGACACAATCACATGGGGAAAAACATGGCAGGATCACATGACTAATACAGGGAATCACATGACAAGACATGAAACATGACTGGCATTAAACATGAACCAAAAATAAATGTGACACACCAAGATTCCTGACTTAATTTTTAGTTGTTTGACCCCTGGAGTGAAGGTATACATTCCCTTTGAGAACTTCATCTTTGTTTTCAAACGTAATGACTTCAGTTTTGTCTTTGTTTAACTGAAGAAAGTTTTGGTACATCCAACTGTTGAATTCATCTATGCATTGACACAGGGAGTCATTAGGGCTGTGGTCGTTAGGCGATAGGGCTAAGTAGAGCTGTGTGTCGTCTGCATAGCTGTGGTAAGCAATTTGGTTCTTTCTCATTATTTGGCTCTGTGGGAGCATATACAGGTTGAATAGGAGTGGCGCAAGAATTGAGCCTTTAGGGACCCTGCATGTCATGGATGTCCACTCAGACTTATGGTCACCTATACTCACATAATCACCTCTTCCTTCTAAGTATAACCTAAACCATTTAAGGACCATCCCAGAAAGCCTGAACCCAGTTTTCCAGCCTGTTATGAAGTATGTTGTGATCGACAGTGTCAAATGCAACACTGAGGTTGAGTAGTACCAGCACTGATAATTTGCCTGTATCAGTATTTAAGTGAATATCATTTATCTTTATGAGCGCTGTCTCTGTGCTGTTATGCGGTCAGAAACCAGATTGAAAATAGTCAAAATATCCATTCGAGCTTAAGAATTTGTTCAGCTGATTGAGAACAACTTTTTCAATTATCTTGCCTATGAAAGGAAGATTTGAGATTGGTCTATAGTTGCTTAATATGGTTTTATTCAGATTGCTCTTTTTCAGGAGGGACTTGACAACTGCAGTTTTCAGGGAGTTTAGAAAAGTCCCAGAGAGAAGTGAGGCATTTACCACTTCTAGGAGATCTGCTTCTAAACAGTTAAACACACATTTGAAAAAAAGATGTGGGAAGTGTGGCAAGAGCGCAGGTTGATGTTTTAAGGTGCTGTACGGTTTCTTCCAAAATTTTACCAGCAATTTCTTCGAAATCAGACATAGTAACTACTTTCTGAGGTTGTTTGTCTGATCTGTCTGACCCCAGCGCAACTCAAGGATGTGCTGATCGCCTTTCTCCCATTATTGATTTTCTCAGAGAAGGAAGCAAACTCACTGCATTTGCTTTCTGAGAGCATTTCTCTGGTAATGTGACTTGGGGAGTTTGTTAGTCTCTCAACTGTAGCAAAAAGTGTGTTGTTTAAGTTCCTTAGTATAATATTTGAGAAGAAGGTCTGTCTAGCTTTGCCGTGTTCCATATTGAAAGCATGAATGCGGTCTTTATAAATGGATATAAATATACACACACAAGACTTGTCTTCCGCCACATGCGCTCTGCTTTTCTGCATTGTCTTTTCATATTTTGCACTGCTGTTGAGTTTCTCTAAGGTGCTTTTTGTCTGCCACTCTTCTTCCTGACTTTTACAGGAGCGATATCATCAATTATACTCTTAACCTTCGAGAAACATTTGAGAGAGTTACTGTTATCATAGCGGGGACCCGACACATATCACTGAGAGCTGTTTTCAGTTGTTTTTGGAGAAGGGTGTGGGCCCTGGCGTTGTGGCAGAGGCCGAAGAGCTGTCACAGGAGGATGGGGAGGGCGAGCTGGGCCCGCAGGCTTTGGTAGTTGCAGGGCTTGCCTCGCAGCAATAGAGTGGGATAGTTTGGTTCCAGCATACACCAGTTCTTCCATTTTCTCTGAGAAGCAAAGAAGTGGAGATACTGGAGAGAGGGATAACGTGTCTGGTGAGACGGGCTGTTGCTCTGGTGTTACCGGAGGCTGTATTATGTTGTCCTGGCTTCCCTGGCTGTTTTTCAGAAAGTCGTCCTTGGATGCTGAATCTTGGAGCCGTTCTAATCCGTCACAGTCTGTCTGTGGTGAGCTCTGTGGGCAGGGCTCAGCTGAGATTGTGTCCGTGAGCAGAGGTTGTTGTGGCTGCATGGTGTTATCATTGTCCTTGTCAACCGCATGTCCAATCAGGTGCTGAAGTGAAGTCCTGTGGTCATTCATACTCTGTCTAGGTGTGTGTGTGCCATTCAGGTTGAGTGCACAAATTGCAGAAAGATGATGGAGGGAGAAGTAGATATTATCCTTTAGCACTCTTGAACCAAGTTTGTTTGGGTGGAGGCCATCCTGTCAAAACAGTTGTCTCTGACTCCAGAAAAGATTGAAGTTGTCAATGAAGTTCACTCCTTTTATGTTGCAGGTTTGGTGAATCTCACAAAAATGAAACCATATGTCACATTTTAGCCAGAAATAAAAAGGAAAATGAACCCTGTTTGTTTTTAGAAGCATAATGTTTTTTTTTAATTAGACATAATTTTTATGAACATTTAAGAAATTCTCCTTAAATTCCCATTAACGGAATGTAACATTTTACTTCTGAGTTTTTCTAATTCATGATTCTCATTACTTTTTCTCATCATATTTACTGTATTACAGAAGAAAAAAAATGAATTGCATTATGCAATTTAAAAAAAAAGTTTCCAGTCTTTTAGCTTTACTTGAGATGGCATTTTTATGATTTGAAACATTGATAACATTTAATTTTTTCTAATCTTTCTCAGATTCCCTTAATTCCAAATTTCTCATGGTTAAAGCCTTGTGTAGCAGCTAAGGACATTGTCTACATTGGACTCCGAGATGTGGACCCAGAAGAACAGTACGTTTGTAGATTATAATGTTATTAAAAGTGCAAAATAATACATAATTTAAAGTCCCCCTGTGGTGAAAATCAAGCTTTTAATGTTGTTTAAATGTCTATTTGGTGTTTTTAATATGCTATTTTAATATACTATTTAAACAAAAAAACGGTTCAGTGCGCCGGCGCTCTGGCAACGGTTAACAGGTTAAGACAAACCATGCAAATTCATGTCAACCCCAAAACTGTGGTGAACCAAAGACAGTCTCAAAAACACGGTTTGAAATCACTGGTGTTTCTGACGTCACAATCTACCTTGTAACCAATCAGGTCAACGTGTGATCGTCAACGAGTGGATCTTTGAGCTGGTGTGAGTGAGTGGAGGCAGGGCTAATTTGCATATTCATTGAACCGCGTATATTAAAAGATGACAAGGGTGTAGAGTTACATTCAAGCTGTTTTAAGGCATGAATAATTTTTTTCAAGGAAAAAACGTTTAAAAATTACATTTTGGTGATCAAAGATGAGTTTTAAGGGATACAATTATTGACTACAGGGGGACTTTAAGTAAAACAGAGTGCATTATATCACTATTTCAGTGTTCATTATGAAGTCCAACTCATCCAACTCATACTTTACATAACAGTTATATCCTGAAGTACCTTGGAATCAAAACGTTCTCCATGACAGAAGTTGATCGACTTGGAATAGCAAAAGTTATGGAGCAGACATGTGATCACATGTTTTCAAAGTAAGTGTGTTACTTTGGGAATCTTTCCTCCTTTTTTTTGTAATTTTTCAAAATATCTTAAGAGTAAATATTTATTGTGGAAACATTACTGCTCTTTCTGGATCAGGGTGAAAAAACCTATCCATCTGAGTTTTGACATTGATGCTTTGGACCCATCAGTGTCCCCTGCAACAGGCACACCTGTAGCGGGAGGACTGACCTATAGAGAGGGGATTTACATCACTGAGCACATCTGTCAAACAGGTGAGAACACGAGGATATGTAGGTAGAGAACTAATTAATAAACCGTAATGTGTTACAATATTGCATTACTCCCTAAAAAGTAATTAGCTGCGTTACTACTTTTTATGGAAAGTAATGTGATACATCACATTTGCATTTATTTTTCTCACCTGGGTTAGGCTCGCTTGTTTGATTTTTTTTTTTTTTTTAAACCTTCTGGAGCTCCTCCGTGGGACTAGAGACCGGTTTGGCGCACAGGTGATGTTCATTAGCACTCGCACCATCGGCCTTGCTCCGTACCCGCGGCTCTCTGCCCCGCATTGCCCTGCTTGCCACAAAGAGACTAATGTAACTTCCAGGCTGATAAACCGGCAGGCTTTTGGGCTTTCCGAGATTATTAACCAAAAACTGATGTGTTAGCGCCACCTTGTGTCAGTTTCAAAACGTCCCAAGAGTAGAACAGTGAAAATAATAAATAGTTTATTTAATTTAATTAATTATAATCAATCTACATTATACCATATATTCTAGATATCAGCATTAAAAAGACAAATGACCCACTAATTACAATGTTTCTGTGTTTGGCTTTTGCTTAGCAATCTCATTACCATGATCATTCTTGATACTTTTACATGGACTGTTTGGCCTGTTGACTTTCTTCTTGACTTTCCTCCAGGGCTTCTCTCTGCTGTAGACATCGTGGAAGTGAACCCAAAGCAGGGCAAAACAGAGGATGAAATCACATCAACAGTAAACACTGCTGTGGATCTGTTACTGGGCTGCTTCGGACGGGTCCGCGAGGGCTCTCATGAGCCAGATTACAAAATGCCAAATCCATAAATCACAGGGTTTTATTTATTTTTTCAGGCTTCATTCTTGTTATTTTGGTTTCTTTTCTATTATATTTACTTACTTTCATCATTTAGACAGTCATGTCGTTCTGAATTTAAAAAGACTAAATTTTAATTTGCATTTATTTTTTTTCTTGTATAAAAAAATGAATTCCAAAGATATATGCAAATTACACCACAGTATATTTCCAAAGTGAATGCAAAAAGTAAAAAGCTGTATAAAAAGTATGTTTGTTATTTCCAAAAATCAAACCAAAAAGACATTGTTGCCAGGAAGATTAACAAAGTTTAATGTAAGAACTAAAACATGTACAAATATATGTAACCCTATAAAGCTTACTTGCATATCATATTTGATATACACATTTCTCTAAATTGTCTCTAAATTATCAACATGTTCGAAACTTTGCTGAAATAAATATGTGCACAATCTACTACATGCTTTCTTATGCAAGTAAAAGGCATTTTACCATCATTCTAAAAATGCTCCCTACTCCTCAAATATCAGCAACTGCAACAAAGAGTTTTGGTCAATTTGGGGATCTGAATAAAACTGAGGTGTTTTTTCATTGAGTATGAGCTCCTTATTCTCACTACTTCAAACTATATAAGCCATAAAAGACAAATGATACAGGGGGAAAAAAAACTTTAGATTTTTTAAAGTTAATTGATGTCTAAAGTTAATAAACTGATCCATTAAAAACAAAGATATGTCAGGCTTTACTGGGTTAAAAAAACTAAATGTTTTCCAACTAAATCCACACAAGGGGCAAACTATATTTAATCTATTTTAATTGAAAATGTTATTTTGTTTGAGTTATTTTTCTTTCAATTACCAGTGTCTCTGATACCAGTGGACAAAAACAAGGGTTTGACAATTTGCTGATTATGTGTGGCTGTATGAGAAAATCACCAAAGCCAAGACTCAGAACATCTTTGGTTTGCCTAATATTAACATGTAATAACAGATCAGTTAATGTAAGAGCTTGACTAACAATGAGTATTGTGTTTGAAATGTTTGCAACTTAAACGTCGTAAGTATATTTAAAAGTATGAGTGTTCGTGTTCAGCTATTCGCGCTTTCTTGTTTACGTTTCAATGTAAACAATAATAGAATTTGTATGATTCATGATAAAGGAGAGGGAATGCGCAAAATAAAGCAAAGAGATTCACTTTGGGAAAATCGTTTTTATTAGACCATTCCCGAACATTCTGTGAATGCGGCGAACATGCATTCTGTGCATTTTCTGTCATGTCACTTTGGTCTGTCTGTCAGTCAGAATAAGTGTTGGAGATATGCTGTCACTTCAGTGCTGTGATTTGATGCCATTGTACAGCTCAATAGCTAAAGGCCTGTTGTAATGGAGTGTTGCAGGAATAGCTGCTTCCTTTGAAGCCATAGTGTGCAATGATAAAAGGCACTAACAGAGGTAATGTAACCCAAAGGCTGGCTCACACAAGTATGCTGCTGCCAACACAGTAGACATGAACAGCAGGGAGGATGCTGTGTTTTCAGAGTCTGTTCAGAATCCAGGAGGAGTGCATGAGGAAGACGAGTGAAGGCTTTGATCAATCTGTCTCTTTCAGGCTGCATGGTCTCCTGAATTCCTGACCTCTCTCGTGGATCCATTTATTTGACACTAACGGATAGGCAATGAGAGATTGAAAGAATGAAATTTGTCAACCAAAGTTGATATATGTCAATATATTTATAACCATGCCTTCAGAAAAGTAACAGGGTTGAGAGTTTAGAAAAGTTTAGGAAGCTTTAGATGGTTGATAGTTTAATTTGACACTATGAACAATTTGCTCAGGTGCATAAATTATTAAAAAACTGAATTTAATTTAATACATTATTTATCAAGGGAATTCAAGACTTTTAAATTATGTATTATGTCGACTACAATGTGCTTAAATTCTAAAACAGCAAGAATTACTAGTAAAATAAAAGTAAAGAGTTGATAGTTTAATCTGACATTAATAAATATGTGCTCAAGTGCATAAATTATTAGAAAGGAAATTAAAGGCTGATGGTAACATAGTTGACCATTTTCCACAATAATACATTATAGTAACACAATTATTAAAAAAGAGAAGACTTTTATTTGTGCTTACTTGCTGAAAGAATGAAGATGTCACTTAGTGTTTCTTATTTATGGAATAATACATTATTTTAACAATGGATAATTATGATGGTAACAGGGTTGACACATAACCAACTTCAAGACTTTTAAATGGATTATATCAACTAAAATGTGCTTATTTAATACAGCATAAAATACTCATGAAGAAGGAAAAAAGCTAGATCGTTTAATTTGACATTATTAACTAGTTGCTCAAGTGCATAAATGATTAGAAAAATAATTGAATGTTGATAGTAACAAATTACCATTTAAGATTGTAACAAACCTAACACAATAAAAGATTAGTTAATAAAAAGATTATTTTTTTATTTGTCTTCACTTCCTGAAAGGATAATGTTTATAAAGTTTTTTTTTCATTTATAGAATAATACAATATTATAATTAGCAAGAATTATGATGGTAACAGGATTGACATAACGCAACTACACGATTTTTAAATGATGGATTATGTCAATTAAAATGTGCTTTTTTGCTAATACTGAAGGAAAAACAGGCAATCCTCATAAAGAAAGAAAAATTAAAATGAAGTAACAGGATTTTGCTGATGTGAAAGAAAATGCCTATAACACATAGTAAAAACTGGTGTCAGCGATTCATTGTTAAAATTTGTATACACAAAGGCATCTTTTTTTAGAGCATGAAGAAAATCTCCTGATAATGCATTGTGTCTGAGACACTCACCCCACTTGTTTCCCACCAGTACCGGGCAAGCTGCGTGTCTCGTGCTGTAATCTCCCTCTCCGCTGGGAAAGAGATTATACCAGAATACAGCTGTACCCTAAACACAGACACAAAAATGTTAAGTGATCATTCTTAACAGAAAAGGCAGTTGTACCTATAATAAATGTATATTTAAAAAAAATAAAGCAACACCCATGACATCCTTTCTGTACCTATTTCGATGTTTTGACAGTATATACTGTGAAACAGCAGAGTTGTGTCAAACCGTACAGTTTAGTTCCCTATGGTTACCGAGTTATGTTGCATACTAATGTAAATTAAAGTAAAGTATTTAATACACATCAAATTATCTTAAATAGACTCTATGGTCAACCCTAATGAAAAAGAAGTGTGCTTAATTGTGCTGAATGTGCACTTGTAGTGTACTTGAACTCTTAAAAGTATACTTAAAAAACTGCACTTGCAGATAATATAATATTAATGAAAAAAGGCCACTTTAATGGCCATTTCTTAACACACTTAAGTAAACTTTTAAAAATTGCACTTTGCAATAGTCCAATTAAAAGTTTTACTTTAGTGTATTTAATAATCTTTTGCTGTGCTTTAAAGAAGTAAACATATTTTGATGTGTTGACACTTAGTAAAGCATGCCAAGTACTTGATTATAATTTTACAATTTAACTGTAGTATGTATTTTTGAAATTACATTTAAACTTACTTTATCACAAATGAAAATTAAATTATACATATTTAAAGGTGCAATGTGTAATATTTCTGAGGATCTATTGACGGAAATGCAATATAATATCTCCTAGGTATATATATAAGATAACTATGTGTTCAGTGGTGTATAAAGACCTTACTCAATGAACCGTTATGTTTTTATTACCTTAGAATGAGACATTTATATCTACATAACCGCGGGCACCCGCTTCTATGAAGGTCGACATATTGTGACGTCATGTTTCTACCGTAGCCGACAGCAAACAAACAGCGTTACAGAGGGCGTTTCGTCACTACCTTGAAAGAGAAGCCGCAGAACCGTGAGTAGTGACTTTTCCCTTGTCAGTGGTGTAAAATATGTAGTTGGATTGTTTCATGTAACTTAGTTCTTCTCCCTCGCTGTGTTATGGCTTTGACAATCAGCTGATTAGTACTATTGACCGTAAAACAGTAACGTTACAGGAGTCACCAACCCATCGATCGCGGTCGACAAGTCGATCTTGGAAGCATTTTAAGTCGATCGCGAAGAGTTTTCAAAACCAGAGAAAAAAAAAACAATATTTTTATTCATTATTATTTATTAATTTGTGTGTAGTAAATGGTGTCTAGGGGATGCGGAGGCACGCGCGCTGTTACAATCACGTCATTTTTGCCGCGCGCACCTTTGCGCTCATGCGGACGCGTCGAGTATAAACAATACTTTACGCTTTAACCAGCTCAGCCACAGCCCTACAGCATAACAGCTCATATTAGCCAGCTACACTTTTACTACCCTGTTAGAAAAAATATGTAGTTGGATAGTTTCATGTGGTTCTTCTCCCTCGCTGTTTAATGGGTTTGCTATGTGGGGAGAAATGTGCTGGTTACGTTCATGAGACAATCAGCTGATTACTATTATTATATTATATATTAAGACCCTTGATCGTCACCTGACTATGGCTTTGTAAACTTTATCCATGATGTGGTTTATAATGGACTGTGGTACAGAAACTTGGCTTACTCTGGCTATTCTCTGCTGTCTCAGACGACGATATGTTTGTCCCGTTTTAGCAACCGTAGCTTCTTCGAAAGGGAGGGGTGAGCAGTGGGCTGAGCCATTAGTGCAACTCGCAACCGAACCACTAGATGCCACTAAAATCTACACACTGCACCTTTAAATAATGAAATAAAACAATTAATAGAAATGACTTTAAATTATATTTAAGTTTACCATAAATGCTAGTACATTCAACAGAACTACTGTCACGTTTTGCCTTTGTTTTTGTTTAGTTTTCATCTTGGACTTTCCATTACCCGTTCCCTGTGTTCCTTTGTTCCTGTCAGTTATTATTTGCCATGGACACTAATATAACGATCACACCTGTTGAGTCTTTGAGTGAATCATCACTGTGTATTTAAGTTCCTCATTTCTCTTCAGGTTCTTGTCTGGTATTGTTTGTGTGTTACATGCTGTTGCTTGGCTACTCGTCATTTGTGTTGTTTATATTAAAGTTACTTTTTTATAGTTATTCTGTGCTTCATCTGTTCATCTTCCTGAACCCTGTGGTGACATTAACCACATTACCACAATAGAAGTAACATATTACATATAAAGATGCACCCAAGTCCTATAAGTGGGTCAAAAATAAAAACTCTTAGGTTGCATTTAATATAAATTGAAACTATAATATATTTTCATTTAATTGTAAATAACATGCAATTAGGTATCCAAAAACATTAAAGTTCACACTTATGTATATTCTTTTATTTCTGTAATAAGTACTCATTTTAAAAGTATGTTAAACGTGTACATCTTTTTCACAAGGGCAGGTAATATATAAATCATTTTGGCACAGAATTTCTAAACTCAAACAAACCGCACCTTCATTGGCTTTACTGCCGCTCCAACTTCTGGAAAGACAGTGGCGCCCCCTGCTGATACATCACTCATCTGCAACAAAGTGGATGTTTTACAGGGAGTTTTATACCAGGTGATAGCAGTAACAGAGCCAACCCTGACAGGACAGTCACTACAACAGTAATCGATCAAATCCTACTCACATAGAAAAGCCAGGTTGCTATACGATTCCCTGTGCCCAGCTCTTTAA